CCGTTCCCATTTTTCCAGCCTTGCTCCTCATCCTTAATTAACGAGTCACCCCTAATTAACGACTCACCCCTAATTAACGANGGAATTCTACCCAAAAATACCCCAAAAATTTAAAATAAAAGGGTGGAATTCCGCCCAAAAATACCCCAAAAATTTAAAAAAAAAAAGTGAAATTCCACCCAAAAATACCCCAAAAAATTAAAAAAAAAATGGTGAAATTCCACCCAAAAATACCCCAAAAATTTAAAAAAATAGTGGTGGAATTCCAGCCAAAAATCCGCCCAAAATAATAAAAAAAAAGGTGAAATTCAACCCAAAAATACCCCAAAAATTTAAAAAAATAGTGGTGAAATTCCACGCAAAAATCCGCCCCAAAATGCCCCCAAAATCCAAAAAAAAAAGAGGTGAAATTCTACCCAAAAATACCCCAAAAATTTAAAATAAAAGGGGTGGAATTCCACCCAAAAATACCCCAAAAATTTAAAAAAATAGTGGTGGAATTTCACCCAAAAATACCCCAAAAATTTAAAAAAAAAGTGGTGGAATTCAACCCAAAAATCCCCACAGAATTAAAACAAAAAGAGATTAACTGCCCTCCAAAAATTCCCAAAAAATCTCCTGGAAATTAAAAAAAAAAGCAACAAAATTCTCCTGCAAAATACCTATTTTTCCTTATTCTGACCCAACTTTTTCCCTATTTTTTTCCCCAATCTAACCCATTTTTCTTGGTATTTTTCCCATGTTTTTTTCCCAATTTTTCCCAAATCTAACTGAATTTCCCCATTTTCCAGTGCTGCAGTGCGCCACGGTGATCGGCTTCTGCTACTGGAGACCCCAGACCCCAAACCCACTCCAGTTTTACCCATTTTTGGATATTTTTTTTCCCCCATTTTTCCCAATCTAACCCATTTTTACCCAGTTTTTCTTGGGATTTTTTCCCATTTTTTGCCCAAATTCTAACCAAATTTCCCCATTTTTTCCCAAATCTAACTGAATTTCCCCCATTT